TTCATTGGGGATTTTTTTTCCTTAAACATTAAAATTGAAAGGTTTTTTGACTGCATAAACTCTTAAGACAGATGCACTACACGATAACTGTTTTCAGTTGGACATCTATATCAGGAGAGTTGTTGCAGAGAGGAACCATGGTGCTCTGCCTGCTCATCAGCTTTCCCTGCAGGGGTGACCTGGTATGTGTGCAGCTCTTCTCCTGACTTGATATAATGAGGATTTTAGCTATAGTCAGTGTATGTATTTAATATTGTAAGAAGAGCTTATCAAAGCAAAATCTTCTAAGCTCATGTTTAAATCTACTCTAATTGAGTCAAGCACTATGCTGAATCAGTGAAGATAAAACATTTGGCAGGTTTGAGCTGGGTCTGTCTTTGCTGTTCACTAATGATTTATTTTCACCAGTTTTAGAACTGCCCTTATGGTTCAGCAAAATAGGCCCAAAATGAAAGTTCTTACATTGTTTGATGAATTACAAGTGTATGCAGCATAACTCTGTAGCATCCTTAGGGATATAGAAATGGGGATATATTGCACTCGTAGCTTCAATTCTTTGTTTGTCATAAAATATACAAAGTTAAGTGTTTCATGGGCTCTGGGTAATTGTTTTACATAGACAAAACACAAGCCAAACAATGTCTTTTAGGCAGGAAAACTTAGCTTGAAGTTGACAATACTAACTAAAATAATCTTCCAACATTTTTATACTTCAGGTCTTGAATGCTAAATACTTGGTAGTTTTTTCCCCCAATGACATTCTTTCTGCAGGTCTCAGAGGTGTCTTTAACTGTGTTTGCTTCTAAAAAAACATTGGCTGTGTATTGGTCATGATGATTTTTACTTTTAACTTAAGAAATCAGTTTTTAACATGAAAACTGTGTTGGCCATCATACTCAAATAGGAAAGTTTCTCTTTGTCTTTCTGCACCATACTATAATTTGTGTTTTTTCAAATTAAATATGTTTGTGTATAACAGCTTTCTGGCTTTTCCAGGTTCTTCTTGAGCTTCTGTGAAAATGCAAAAGTAATAAAGCAAAAATAAAAACCTAAAATGTGGCAGTAAAAGCAAAACTGAGACTTAAAAGGTAGATTCTGTTGGCTGCAAGCTGGGGAGTTCTGGCTGCAAAATTAATTCCTTGCTGATAAAGAACATTTCTATACCCCCTGACAAAAACAACCCTGTCTTTTCTTCAGACTTTTAATTTGTTGTTGACCATGCTTACATTAACATCTTTACCTAGTAAGAGTTTTTGTGGAAGGAGTAGCAAGTATATTTTTCTTTTCAAAGCACAGTCATTTGTATCTGTGGTTTGAGAGTTCTATGAAGAAGGTGGCCTTGCTTTGTAGTAAGTGCAAAGGTGTACTAGCATTCTTTGTATGCAAACTTAAAGGAAGCAAGACTCACCATTTTCAGGCAAAAGCAAGATAACTTTTGAAGGGAGCATGTACCAGAATGTATTCTTGTGGTATATTTTAAATAATTCATTCAGCTTGTTAAAACATAGGCTTATGAGTAAACCCCAGCTTTTTTTCCTCCTCATTTTGTTTCTCACTTTGCAGTACTACGATACACAATTAGCCATTTCTTTGCCATTCAGATTTCTACACTTCCCACTCTAACTGTGCAGTTTGAATGTTAAGGCTTTTTCCAGCTTCATCCCTTCCCCCCAGTTATTCTCACTCTCCTGATATCTGTGAACAACTTCTGTGCAAGGATTTTTCCTACCAATTCACTCTACAAGCAGTGAATGGTGACAGCTTTGTAGCACCTTCTCCTTTCCCTTGGATTCCACAGTAGTTGGGATTGTGTAAGGGATGGAAAAAAGGCTGTCAGAAGGTTACCAGTGCTACAGAGAATACGTTGAAAATATATTTTGGACTGGTGGAACATTATCAATGGGTTCTTTTTCTCTGTACACTTTATTGTACTGTGCAACACAACTCCCTCCTCTCCACCCTGATTCTGTATGTGCTTTCAGAGAGAGCAGTAAACTAAAGCGTCCATATGTGAACTTTCCAGTTCCAGGAATAATGTGGCTCTCACTTGTTTATCAGTGATGTAAGTTGCACTTCTATAGTTTCATTGACTGATGTTGTGAGGGAAGTTGTTCAATTAAATTTTTCCATGTTGCGTTCTCAAAACGATTGATACTTGTCTGCCCTCATAAAAAATACCAATTTGCAGGTTAAAACCATAATTACAGTTAATTGCAGTGTGAAAATGAAAGTTGATGTTGTGGTTTAACCCTGGTGGGCAGGTAAGCCCCAAACAGCCGCTCGCTCACTCGCTCCCCCTCAGTGGAACGGGGAAGAGAATCAGAAGGGTAAAAGTGCGAAAACTTGTTTATGATTTCAGTCTCTTCCCCCTCCTGTTCTTGCGGCTGCTTTGCTGCAGAACAGGCTGCTGCTTCTGATCTCCCCTCCTGCTCCCTCTAACACGCTCTGGTCAAATCTGTCGTTATCTCAAACCCTTTGAGCCCCACGTTGGGTGCCAAAACGGGTTGTGGTTTAATCCCAGTAGGCAGATAAGACTCACACAGCCGCTTGCTCACTGCCCCTCCAGTGGGCTGGGGGGCAGAAAGGGTAGGGTAAAAGTGGGAAAACTCATGGTTTGCGATAGAGATTAATAAGCTTAAGGGGGGGGGGAGGTGACAAAACCAAGAAAAACAAGTGATGCAAAAAAACGCAGTTGCTCACCCCCAGCTGACCGATGCCCAGCGAGTTCCTGAGAGATGGCAGACCTGGCAAACTTCCTCCTCGGCTTTCATTGCTGAGCATGAGGTCATATCTTCTGGGATATCCCTCGGGTCAGTCGGGGTCAGCTGTCCCAGCTGTGTCCCCTCCCAACTTCTTGTGCCCCCCCAGCCTCCTCGCTGGTGGGGTGAGAAGCAGAAAAGGCCTTGATGTTGTGTAAGCACTGCTTAGCAATAACGAAAACTTCTCAGCATTATCAACACCGTTTTCAGCACAAACCCAAAACGTAGCCCCATGCAAGCTACTGTGAAGAAAATTAACTTTATCCCAGTCAAAACTAGTACAGCTGTTTACTCAAACCAGGTACACTTTGACATGTTTATGATTCAAGCTATAAACTTGTGTCTAGCAAACAGTTTTGTTTCTTGTCTTATTTTTTTCCATTCATTTTAAGGAATATATGTATAACAATATAGCTATTAATGTATTTGTCAAGTCTAAAAGGTATAGAAGTGACTAGCCAGCATGTATGCTTTTTATGCATTTTGTAACAAGTATTTATTCTAATGAAGAATATGTGCTCCTTTTTACATGGTAAAAAAGAGGTGACATTTTGGTACACCAACTGAAATTTGAGGATGTGCTGTAGATTTGACTAAAGAAGGAAAACAAGACTCATGCAGGTTATGTGGAGATGTGCGTTGAGTTAGCCTCTACTTACAGAAAGAAGAATAGATAGAATAATTTTCATGTTGAAATTCAGCTGAAGACTCAACTAATTGCTATAGCTGGCCCTAATAGTACTTAAGAAGCACTGCTAAGATAAGAAGTAAGAGACACTAACTAAGTGACTAATTGTATGGTCATTTGACATGTCACAGTGTAACTTTCAGCACACCTCCCAGAATGCTCCAGGACTGTTTGCTCATCAGTAATATTGTTTTACAGAGCCTGGAATTTTACCCTGAAATTTGGGGAAATTGATTGCAGAAAAAATGTAAAGATTAAATATTTTTAAAAAATAGTAAAGATACCTGCTTTTGGTTTTGGTAAGTAGTAGTTTTTTCCTACATGACAGTGCTGTCTAGTTTCAGATCCCTTTGTCAGCCAGCTGATACATCTGGCCTTTAACATCTTAAAGCACTGATTTACATAGTAGTGGAAATCAATAAGTATTTTCACTTGTCTGGTTGCTTTTGGGGGTTATTTTTTTCTTCTAACTGCTACTCCCTTAATGCCACACTCTGGCAAAGATCATATTGTCATACCTGTTCCCCTCTTCTGTGCCATAGCTGCTGTTATAGACTTGTTGTGCTCCCTTTCAGATTTTCATTTCTGAACTGAAGAGTTATTTATTTAATGTAGTCTATATAGATTCTGTATCATAGAAATTATACAATAGCACAATGATGAGCCCAAGCAAAGATCAGAGCTTGTGTGTCAAGTGTTCACGAGAGCTAATTTTTCTATTCTGTTCTTTATGCTCAGTTCTGTGAGTTTTTATTTTCCTTCTTGAACTACTTTGTGTAGCTGCAGTCACCAAATTTGTCAGAGCTTGAAGGAAATCTTAGGTAACTGAAAATACCCATATGTCATCTCTCCTTCATTAATTTCTAATTTTCTAAAAGCATTGCTTAGTTTTCCTCAGGTGTTCGACCCTGACATTCATTAAAATGTTGAAAATATAATAAGGAGCTTAGGAGGCTTGAATATTTTAATTTTGCTGTTTAATAAAACTAAGTGTATCTTCTGTAATTGTAACTGAATTAATGGCAGTTGTGTTATTCACCTCATTTTTAAGCCACATATGTTGCTAAATTCTCAAATATTTTCTTGGAAAAAATATTTATATAAATGTAATTAAAATGCTGATCTCTTTGAAACCTGTTAAAACAGAGAAGTACGTAAAATCTGTAATGGTTTATAGAGCTTTTTCAAATGGACACAATTTACTTTTTGCAAAATTCTTCTATTATTTACATACACAAGTTGGTAATATTAATGTCTATATACAAGATTCCTTATACAGGTTGAAACCACTTGGTGGAAATCTCCTTAAAGAGTTAGTGTTCTAATTCAGTCCAGCAGAAGATGTCTGAGAACTTCCTATTTTGTTTTCTTGGATAAACAAGAGTAAAATACTTCTGAAGAGTAACTTCTCATTTTCACAAACAGAAGTAAGACTTCTCATTTTTAACAGGAAGACAGAGGCAGGATTAGTAGCTGTACAGTATAGCGTTTGGTAATCTTAAATTGATGTCCTGGAGTGACAAAGAGAAGCTAGTACCCATTCATTTAAACAATCAAATCAGAGACTTCTTCTTCAAAGAACTTGTGTGGGGAGTGGTAGTAGATAATCGCTCTTGTGCATATTGTCCAAGTTTTATTTCTGAAGTGCTTTCCAGAGTTAGGCCTGAATCTCCATGAATTCTTCTGCAAATAAGTTGGAATACAGTCTTACGGACACTTCTGGACATTAGGAAATACATAACTGGGTCTAAGCAGCTGTTAAAAGATGAAAATATAAGCATCACCTCATTGCATTTGTGAATTACTTCCTTCCAATAACAAGATGGATTTTGTAACTGTGATGTAATGTAGACAAACCGGAACACATGGTAAGGAACAAAACAGATGGTGAAAATAATGAGTACAATGAAGGAATTCCTTGCTGTCTGGGTGTATTTTCCTGCGTTGGGAAAATTTGCTCTTTTCCTTGAAATCTTTAGAAGGTTCTTGGCAATTTTAACATACGAAAGTATCAAAAGGAAAAAAACTATCCAGAAAATGATTACAATAATATAATTTAAAATTGCTTCTGTCTTTGCATTCTGTTTATTTCGGTAATGAAAGCACATAGTAGAATTGCTGTCCTCACTCTTAAAGAAAGATGGTGCAACTACTGTTATAAATCCTGTTAGTGCAAGTGCCCACACCACGCAACAAATATGTATACTTCGTGTAGTAGTTAACATTTTAGGATGCTTCACAGACTTATTTATTTTTACATAACGATCTAGGCTAATCAGTCCCAACAGTACTATGCTAATATACATGTTCATATAAAATAGAGTTCCTACAATCTTGCATAAAATCAGTCCAAACATCCAGGTGTTTTTGGTAACATGATAGAGTATTCGGAAGGGAAGACAGAAGATCAGCAGAAGGTCTGCAACTGCTACATTTAGCAGGTAAACTTGGATAGAATTCCTTTTCTGATGAATGCACAGGAAAGCAAACAGGGCTATAATATTTCCAACCAATCCAACAACAAAAATAATGGAGTAAAAAACTATCAAAGCAAGTGACAGTGAGTTCTCATCTAAGGGACAACTGGCATTATTTTGAATTTCCGAGGCATTTATGGCTAGGTTAGTTTGGTTACTCCAGAAGTCTTCCTTGTATGGAATAATGGTCAGTAAATCAGCTGAAGCTGCGGCCATCATTTGTGAGGATTTTTTGTTCTGTAGGGATGCAAAGAGAAATTTTAAGAATTAAATTGCCATTGGATCTTTTTCACATGTTTGCTTGCTTTATTGCATACAGTCTTATGTGATATAAACATAAAAGACAATAACTAAAAAAAGTAAATGCACCAAAGTATCACTGTAGCTGAGTAGAAGCAGGACTTTCAGCTGGATATCATGATACAATGTAAGTCTAGAATAATCAGTTCCCTGTTTTTCTTCATGTGAAGTAGGCAAGAACAGATGGTACAGAGTACTCACACAGATAACTATTTTTGTAATTACATCTTTATTACTGTCTTGTGTTGTTTTAAAAATCAACCATTATGTTTTGCTGCAAACTTTAGAAATTTAAATTTTTTGTTTTATCTATAAGTACAAATGATTTTTTTAAGTTCAGATGTTAGGATTAGTCTTTCTAACACAGGAAACTTTTTAATTAAGATGCAAGAACAGGTAAGCATAGCTAAGTGAAGTATTCTCAGTGTTGATAAAAAGTACATAGAAATATATGAGAACAATTCTAAACTCATCAGTATTAATTTTAAGTAAGTCCCCAGGATCTCTCGCATGCAAGTCACTAGTTTTCAATTAGAAAAGCAATTGTCAATTAATATTTATTTGGCTATGTAATCTGTTATAAGTAACACTGTGAGTCAGTACTATTACAGTAGCTTGTTTATAATCTTTATATCTTCATGCAAATTTAAGCATTTTTTCCTTTTCTTGACTGTTCACAAACCAATATTATGCAAATAAAATAATATCAGCTGGAAACCACATTACTGCAGTAATAGATTGTTTTCACATCTTCATTGTTTTCATTATTTTCATTTCAAAACTTTAATTTCACTAAGCTTATTTTTGACCAGGAAGCTACGATCAGGAAGATAAAAGAGAGCTTTGACCAAAGAGGGAGGACCAAAACAGTGTGTGGTTAGGAGAGCAGAATCACAATAAGCTGTTTAGAGAGATGGTTAAGACTGATTAGTAATGATATTATTACTAATTTTTGTCCTCAATTTTAACAGGGCAAGGTTTTTTCCCCATATCTCATAAGAACTTCAGAATTGTTTTTTGGTACTCTGAACTTAGTTGTCCAACAACAGTAACAAGAAAAAAAAACAACAACAAAACACTGCCATTTACATAACTTTAAAATAGTTTTTCATTTGCATGCTAGGTCTTAAAAATGCAAATTTACATTTAAATGTGTGATATAGCTACAGCAGTGAAAATGGCAGCACTTTAGGTAAAATTCTTAGTAAGACCTAATGTACATACCAAATCTTAATTATGAGAGGACTGTCTAAAATATTTTAATGTCCTATGTTGGCTGAGCTTACAATTGCATTAAGTTTGTTCAATATGTTAGCAGTTTCAAAAATATTTCTGCTTTCATATTTGCCATTCATATTGTCAGGACAAGAAGTAATTTTAAAAGTTTGATTAAAAACCATGATGCTTTCAAATACATCTTGAAACCTATCTACTACTAGAATTTCTTGTTTATGTTGCTTTTCTATAAAAATGCTTGACATCATGACTTGCCTAAGTAGTGACAAGTTTTAGGTCAATGAGAGAGAAAAATCAATTACACTGCAGATACATTAGAAACATAACTTTTCGTTATCCTAAGTTTTGTTGTCTGTAAGCAAGCAGGCATGCTTATACATAAGTATATTTAAGAAAGGGTTTGAAGGTCAGTAGTACCTCTGCAGCTAAGAGAAATTTTCATAGACATTTGTTTTACTATAGCTTAAGTATAAAAGAAGCCACTTACCATTTATATATTAAGAACTTCTCCTGATTGTCAAAACCGCTAGCGAAGACAGGGAGGAGTAACATGCAAGTCCTCTTATTAGAAAGCTAAAGCACCAGCTTCTCTATGAAAGTGATGAGAATCAGCTGACACAGTACAATTAGCAACAAGGGGAAGTTTAACTAGTGTTGCAACTGTTTTTTTTAAAAGATATTTTAAACTAACAAAACTCAGTTTATTGAAAAGATCAATTTTGCTGTTAATTTGGGCTTTGCTGGGAGAGGTTCTACAATAAAATTTTCTCTGAGTTTCTCTCTGAATGGGAGATTTGGATTTTTTTTCTCAGAAACTTTATTTCTGGTGGGCAGTGTCAGTGGCTTCCTTTTTGGATGACAATTTTGTTGGGTACAGCCTGTCTTCTTTTTAATAATGTCATGGAAATAGTATCACTTTTTCAAATGTAAGGTAAATATAAATCAACACCACAGTGAAATGGTACATTTTGCTTATGTTGGTGTAGTTCTCCCATCTACCTTCCTCCTTGCCTGGGGTTAGAAATTCGAGGTTGATCTTTTTCACTCAGAACGATAGCAATGAGGGAATGTGAAAGTGCCCAAAGTGTGCAGCTTAAGGATTTCAATAAGGCAGAAGTGAAATAAAATATGCAGAGATAATACCACCTGGTCGTACTATTTTAAATAGGATGTAAGGGATTGAAAATTACATTTATAAACTGCAAATTTAAAAATGGATTCTAGAAGTCCTGGTATAAGGTAGCCTAAATTTCATGATCATCTCAAGAACATTGTCTTGGCTTAGTATTCTCCTTAGCATTTGAAATGAGACTTCCCATGTTAACTTACTTAATATATCATCTGTTTAGGAATTAGGCTTTTATGGGATTCTGCAGATTTCAGTTAGAATTGTAAACAGGCTATGCATTCTTACTTGAAGGTGCTTGTTCTCATACAATCGAAACTTTTTAAAAGAAAACGTAGGTGGTTACAGATGATGACTTTACAGGTAGTCAGACTGAGCTTGTTGTAGCCCCTTTGCACTATTTTGAGTTCCTAGTTTTGTAATTTAAGTGGTAATGTATTCTCAAGAAGCAGTATAGAAATCTGACATTCTTCCTGTTAAATAACATGGTTGACTGCAAAGGGAGGCTTTGAGTAAATGCAGGAAGTTGTTCTATGTTAAATGCGGTAGTTTGGCTATGTGTATTAAATACTAAATTGTGTTCCAATAGATTTTGTCTGTATGTTGCTTCCTCCTACACCAGTCACTATCCACCCAAATTGTTGTATAATATTATTCCATTTTTATACTTTACACCTCACTCTTATTAGTGGAAACGCTGTGGAAAATCAAAGGTATGGATGACTGTGCCTGGAATTCAGTTTAGAAACCTAAACAATTTCTCCCCTTACTGTAATATTTATTAGAAACATCACAGGGATGTTCCTTTTCTTTCCTGCAGTTGGAAAGTGATCAGTGAATTCTGTGATTAAGGCTCAAAATAGTGTTTTATGTTCTCTGTGTGAAGGATAGGATCCCACAAAATGTATCATAGGCAGGATATTTCTGCTGCAGAATTGAAATAGTGTAAGGCTTAAGGGTGAAAGGTAAAAAGAAAAAATAATACCAGGTAAGAAATTATAGGTGTTAATTTTTTTTCCTCCATTTTATTAGTATTTCACTTTGTATTCCTTGCAAGTTCTGATAAGTCCTGGAAGGATTTTGCTGTGCCTAGGACAATTGAAAGGGAAGCCAATGAAGAAAGAGGAGTCCATGCCAGAAACAAATATATCTGAAATTAAGAAATTCTTTAAAAAAAAAAAAAATCTAGCTTCTCTTTGCAAATTTATGAAAATAAGTTCTAAAATGCAAACTGTATTTCTCAAATAATATAATAATTTGTCTGGGGTTTTGTCTTTTCAGCCACACTGTGTACTGCTTGCCTCAAAAGAGAATTCAGCCCCAGTAAAGCTTGGTGGCTTCGGGGTAGCAATTCAGTTAGGAGAGTCTGGGCTAGTTGCTGGAGGTAAGAAATTTTCCTTTGAAGTTATATAATATTATGCATGTTGTACTGCAGAGTTCTGTTCTTCCAACACAGCCTGGCCTGCAAAACAAGAGCTCAAAAATAATCTTTCACTAAAGACTTTGTTAACATTATAAATGCACACAGTTAAGCTAAATTTCTAGTAGAATTGTTGTGCGTACATATACTGAGTATTAAATCCATCTAAATGTTACTCAACAGGAGCTTACACTGGTTTGATCAAAATAACATTGAAAAAAAGCAAAGAATTTTCCACTTTAATACAATCTCTGGTATAATTCTTCCATGCTTGACAAAGCAAATGAAATAAAAATGCTATCAGGATTGAAATGTATGTCAAAGCAATTGAGTAAGGACTTACTACAGCATCGTCAATGCTCCCCTATGTTTCCTAGGCTATTTCTGTCAGAATGCTATGCTGTTTAATAGCAAAATCTTACTAGTTTTCACATGTGACTCTTTTCTGTGTTTTAATATTTCATTGTAATTATTGCATAAGACATCAATACCTTGATACGTATGTATATTTTTTGACTAAGTGTGTTTTGTTTTCTGTGGATTTTATTTCTTCTAGCTGCCTTCCATATTGTTCCAGACAATAGGGTTATGCTTTAATCAGCCTGCACAGGTGAAGACCCAATCAATTTTCTGATGCTTTCATTGCCAGAGTAGACCACAACAAAAGATTTTGTTAGTTTTAATATCTTTTTGTTCAAAACTAGTAACTTCCTCTCAGTACCATGCTTCTTCAAAAACTCAGATTTCCTTATCTAATTACTTAAAGGTCTGCGTCAATTTGGCTTTCATATGCTCTTTAAAATAAAAAGCAAATCCAATATAAACATACCAACAGCTTCCATTCCCTTCCAGATATCACTAATACCCTGGAAATATCTAAGTATCTTATTACGTAGAGAGCTAGATACATCTTTTCAAAGAAAATACTCATTCAGTTAAGCTACTGTTGTTTCCTTAATAGAAAGATCACTTCTTTCTTTACTTTTCTTGTGTTTCTCAAATTTTCTGTACCTCAGCCACTGCTTTTTTTAGTGATAGTTTCTACACTTTTGTTTATGATTCTCTCATTTTTCTTCTTTATATTCTCACTGAGCAACTTTATCCATTTCTTCTGTTTCAGCTACTCTTCTGGAGGTAGTCAGATACAGTGTACTTTCTTTCAGACTACTAGCTGTCTCGCAAGAAACCTCAAGTTCAACTTGGAAAGAAAATCCTGCGGTTTTCCCCAAATTTGTCATGTCCTTCCCTTCCTTTTACCATTCACTGTTCTGTGATCACACTCATCATTCATGTGCTCAACTTCCATGCAGTTATCAATGCTTGTCTGGTCTTTCCTTTTCTATGTAAAAATGTTTTCATTCCTTTCTGGTTCTGTTTGCAGTACTTATAGAAGCTTCTTTCTTAAGCCTCATCAGTGTAATATTTCTCTGTATCTGTTATCTTTTACCTCATCCATCTCAAATCCTTCCTTCCTTCCTTCCTTCTTTCCACTCTGCCTTCATTTTTTTTTCCTCTTTCTCAACCGTCATTTCCAATTTGTACCCTTTTCGTTAGCACTTGTTACTTTCAGCTTCAAATTCCTCTTGCTTTCAGGGATATCCAGAGTAATTCCACTTCATTTATATACCATGGAAGGTCTCAGTTCTACTACTTGTTTCAAACTTTCTCCTTAACTCATTCCTTATCTCTTTCTTCTCATCTTCCATTCCAGTCTTTATACCACAAACTACATCTGTTATCTGGCAATTCTTTTCCCTTCCAGACTCCTACCTGAAGGCATATTACTAGACAGTCCCCTACACAGCACTTGCAAGATTGTATTTCTTCAACTTTACAATATCACCCCATATGTGTTATATGAAAGTAACAACACTGTCTGTTTGAATTGGGCTATAAATATCTTGTAAAAAATTGTTTATCTACATGTTTGTTTAAGTTAGTTATCCATATGTCCTATGGATAATTTTGTTTTGTAGTAATAATAAATTACAGGCACTACTTATTTCTTAATTGTCTCCTAAATGAAATAGAAACTCTCCTTATAGAGAAGTTTGAGCAGTATAATAGCTGACCTGTTCACTTTCACGTTCTTTTTCTGATTTTTAGTGAAAAAAATTGATTCAGTTTAACACAGTCAATCATTTCCCTTTCAGCATGGCAATTCCTGTATTTTGGTGGTTAACACATAAAAAAAGAAATTCTCTATTAAATAAAAGCTATTATGGCATTAAGGTTCTCTTACTGACCTAAAACCCCTGTGCTAAGCCATTTCAGTGCTCAGTACACCTTAAAATGTTTACAATACTGAAAACACGCTGCCTTATACTTATAGAAAGTGCAGTACTTATTAATCTGTCTGTATCTAGGTAATGGGTATTACTACGATACCCTAACAGCGTATACTCATTACTAGTGTATATCCTTACGTAGATGACCCTGGTGTTCAAGAAAAGAAATCTTTTATCTTTCTTTATTTTATGTTGCTTGGAGTAGTTTATCTTTTAAACCAGAAAAGGACAGCTTTCCTTTAGAAAAAGCTTGTCAACACTGAAAGTAATGCAACTGTAGTGAAGTTCAACTGATAGGACCCTTCCCTTAATCTTGCATAAAAATCCAGCCATTATACAAAAGCTCTTCAATATCTATGATGATCACTTTATTTTGTGGTAGTATTTTTCCTCCTAAAATAGGAGTTACTATATCTAAAACATTCAGAGGCTACCCATGTTCTAAAATCTTTTTCTTGCTTTCATGCATTTGTGTTTGTGCCATTTTGCTTACCTTTTTACATTGACACACCTGTGCCTGGCAAGCCCAGATTGTGTGTACCCCCAGGAGAACACGAAGGGAATTTTCTCCCTCAATGTCTTCAAAGCCTGCCTTCTGGGGTACAGCTTTTGCTTTGTTTGGGACTGTGGATTTTTTTTTTAACTTAACAAAAGACATCTTTTTTCCAGTGTGCGTAAATTGTTTTTTTGGGGAAAGGGGGGTTTGTAATAGTTAAACTAAGTCCCAGGTATTGAAAGTAGACCAGTCCCAATCTTTTGATATAAGTCCAAAGACAGACTTGTGTTGTTTAGAAGGATTATAACTACAGTATTCTTTCGAGCAGATAGAGAGTTATTTAACAGAAGTGTAAGGGAGCTCATGATAGCAAGCTATGACATCATATTAGATGTCATTAGTGAAAATGTCTATGGAATAGATTTTAGGAACATGGCTATTTTATCAGCTAACAACCCAGCTGAGTTTATTTTTAAGAGAGTTTAATTATTATTAAGTACCAAAAAAGGACATAGCCATAACTCATTTTTCATAAGACCAGAAGGGAAAATGTAAGGAAATACTTCTTGTTCCACCGTGTTTGCCATAAGCTGCAACACAATGAATAATAAGCATGTGTCATCTTCTGAGTTATAAGAAATTGTTTTCATGAGCTACCAATCTCTGAAGGTGTCTTCTTGCAGTTCTTATGATCAGAAGTGGAAAATTTTGCTAAGTGTATTCATTTGAAACATTGAAGTAGGTACTTCAAGATGGAATTCTGGCAGTGTACACAGTAGTTACAGATCATCATAATTTATAAGTGAATTCTTTTATGGAACAGGATGTAGACAGGAAACAGTTATGTTTGCATGGTTATGATGCAGCTGGAGTAGTGGAACCCCTGAGAAGTCAGTGATTTAATAAAGCAATCTCACATTATGATTTCTGTCTTCTTCCTTGGACAATTTTTCTTTCAGAATGTGGTATGAATTGTCACAATATTTTTGTAAATAAATGTGACATCAGATTTATCAGATATCAAATATCTTGGATGCTAAATCTTGGGATTTTTAGCTATTATATCATATAAAAGTCTGAAGGAACAAAAGCCATTGAGTCCACAAGTGCTATTTCCTTCACTTAATCTACTTATTTTCTCCTGGTTTCAACTAGTGCAAAATAAGATAACTATATAGACCTAAGTGGTATGAGGTTCTATACTAACTGTCAAGTCTTATCTATGGATAGTTAACTGCTTTTCACTTTTTACCTTTAGCAGCAAAATGTCACAGGTGCCATGACGCTAATCCAGTTCCGTATTGATTTTATTATTAATTAGCTCCCCTAAGTTGCTTCAGAATCCTGTAGTATCTTCAGGTATCCTAACACAACTGTCATCATCTTACTGGAAAACATCTTACATGTTCTTAATAGAAGCACAGCACATAAATATCAAGCGTTCTTGGTTCTTCATCAGCTAGCCTTTTAGACTTACTACAAAAACAGCAAAGGAAGGCATTACCATGTATTTCCCTGCAAATAAGACTATGGAATTTGGGGTGGGGGCGGATCTTTTAAGTTCCTTATTTTTGTTTTGTTCCCATCAATGTAAAAATGATCACAGAATCATAGAATGGTTTGGGTGAGAAGGGACCTTTAAAGGTCATTTAGTCCACCCCCCCTGTAATGAGCAGGGACATCTTCAACTAGATCAGGTTGCTCAGAGCCCCGTCCAACCTGACCTTGAATGTTTCCAGGGATGGGGCATCGACCACCTCTCTGGGCAACCTGTTCCAGTGTTTCACCAAACTGGATCTTCTTGATGGTTTTATAAACCCCAGTTTAAAAATCATACTTTTGAAATGTTGGTTTTTTACACTGCGTAGACTTTTTTCCTTTTCATCATCAGTGTCTCAATGATATAGCGAATCTTTCTTTTGTTTTCCAAGGAGAACATTTCTAGGCTGAGATCCTACACTAGTGCTCTTCTTTCACTTAAATGGTAGTGTTTCTTTTCTCTGCAAAGCAAGAGTGCTATTTCACTTCCCCCCCCCCCCGAAAAATAAAAAAATGTGAGCCTCTTCAAAGGTTTGCCTCTGATAGACTTTGTTTTGTTTAAAAGATACAACTGTGGTTTACTGTCTCTCAGAAATTCCATTTCACATCTGGGTCGATTTGAGAGTGCTTGCAGGAGGCTA